GAAATAAATTAAAACTAGAGTTCACATAATATTATTTGCTTTTTAGCTGATTTTATAGAAGGTATTCATTCTATAAGACAGTGGATCCCTATGTAAACCAATAAGAATAAGAGATTCTTCTATACTGCTTGACAAATAAGTTTAGTGATTCCCATCCTTGGGTCAGTGACTCCTAAATACAAATTGCAAGAGTCAGTATGTACTGTTCCTCCTGTCCGAGGAGAGGGAAAAAGGAGAATACAGACAACTTTTCGCATAGCTAAGTTTATTTAGTTTAGCAGGCCGTCCTTTATTTTATTCTTAGTATTATTTTGCTATTAAAATTTCCTTTAGTTTATGTTATATTAGTCAAAGTGTAATAAGTAATGGTAAATGTCAGACCCCTCAATTTTCTCTTTTGAGATTATTGCTGATTTATAAAATGTGAAAATATGAGAACCACTATTTTGTAAAGCAGTGTGGTCATTGTCATGGATAATACTCTATAATCCATGGTTTCAGGCAAGTAGAGAATTTCTCAACTCTTTTCATAAGGAATGTAATAATTTATGAATATTAATGGTAACTTGTTATGAGAAAGGGAAAGGGCATAAGTGATTTTTAATCCAGTTTTATAAATTTTAAGTATTTTCTAGTCATAATGATTAATTGGTAGCTTCTTTTATTGATACATTTTCTAGTTACTGGACAGTGATGATGAGAAGGGCCTGACTCTACGAGATAAAGATACTTCAAGTACTATTGCTCCTAAAATTGATGAATCAACAAAGCAAGCAGATACTCCATTGTCCATTCTTCCCAGCCTGACAATAACAGAAGAGAACAAAATATCACCTTTAGAGGACTACCAATCAGAAGCCATGCCATATGGAAAAATGAAAAACATATTCTTTCCACCACAAGTAAAATTGAAAAACAGATATTCAAGCATTTTAAAAACAGACTCATGTCCATCTGAGGTAAAGTTGAAAAGTATCTATATAAATCCAGGTAGAATAAAGAGGAGGAACTTAGACTCATCTCTAATAGAAATTAGGTGGCAAAGCAACAATCTAAGCTTAGCTAGAAGGAAGAGAACAAGCAGAGTTTTCCCAGATTCAAAATCAAAAGGTAGCTTTCAAAGCCAAGCTCCAAAGGAAGACCCGGAACTAAAGGTATCTTCCTTCATATTAGAAGTATAAAAATAGGAAAAACAAAATAATTCATTTAAGAAAACAAATTAAACACAAATAAATTGAAAATGCATTCAGATTTCTCGAAGTGGGAGTGTGTCTAAGTATATTAAAAATTCCTACCCTACTTACATTCATCAATTAAGGCAGGAAAAAAACTCTTGAAAAAAAAGCAAAGTAATCCTGGTGTCAGTAATACAAACTAGTCTCATGAATTGGTGCAAAATTCAGCTGAAAGTATAACAATAACATAATGTAAATTCAAGGAAATTTAAGAACCTTTGGAAATAGCATATGTTATAGGAAATAGCATACATTCTTCCTGTTAAAAAATTTTATAGTTTAAAATGAAAATGATCTGAAGGTAAATTTAAAGGGTTACTTAAGTCTTTATGTCTTATTTGAATTCTTATTACAAGTAACTCGTAAGGCAGTGTAAGGAAGTGTACTGGCCAGTGGGTAAACAATCTGAAATAAAGTAAGGCTCTGCCTCTAAATACCTCAGCAAGTTTGGGCATCTAAATCTCCAGGCCTATTTCCTTATCTATTGAAATCATGCTAGCTAAATTTCCTTCTAAATTCCAAAAGATATAATTTTATTAAATATCTCTAGTTGGTGAATTATTGTTAATTACCCAGATCAATAGCCTAACCAATGTAACTTAAAAAGAATAGCATTCTTGTTTTTACTGAATGTGAAAGTAATACACAGTCATTATAGAAAAATTTGAAAATAGGAGAGGAAAAATTAAAGTAGTTATAATTCTGCCACATTTAACAATTTTATATCCTTTGAGTCTTGTTATGCATACATACATATATCTCTTATTTATTTTTAAAAACTTGGATCAAACTATATATATATATAGTTTTATATTGTGCCTTTTTAAACTTGACATTTTACTATAAGCATGGTACCTGAATTTTCTTAAAAATTTGCAACATGTAGACTACCCTCAAATATGGATATTCAGTAATTCTTTAAACAGTTTCTATATTGTTGAACACTGAGTTTGAAACTAATATCCATTTACTTAACTGTTTATTTGGATCTGTGATTATCTCCTCATATATTCATAGAAATGGCCTATTGACTAATTGTTTTCCAGAAAGATTGCACCACTTTACATTCTTACCAATAGCATTTGAGTATAGATTGTTTTTTATATAATGATTAAAACTTTTTCATACTTGTTAGCCATTTTGATTTTTTTTAATATGATGAAAAGTTTTTCATAATGATTAACTTTTTATATATGATTAAACAGTGATTAAAACTTTTCTATACTAACAAGCCATTTTGATTTTTTAATATAATGATGAAAATTTTTTCATAATGATTAAAACTTTTTTTATATGTGATTAAATAATCATTAAAACATTTTCATACTAATAAGCCATTTTGATTTTCCTTTCTATGAGGAGACAGATAATGTCTTTTGTCCATTTTTTTCTGTTGAGTACTTGGTGATGTTTTTAGGTTTTATAATGAGGTCTTTTTATTATAAGGGTATTAACCACTTGTATATTCATGGCACATGCTTTTGTATAGTTTGTAGTTTGCCTTTTAATTTCTCAATTGAGCCTGACTTCCAAAATACCAGTTTTCACTTGATAGGTGAAGTACTTATTGCTGCATGACAAACAATACCAAAACTTAGCTGGCTTAAAATAACTATATTATTATCTCTCAAGATTCTGTGGGTTGACTGTGCTTAGTGGGGCCATTGTTTTGCTCATTTAATGTTGGCTGGGCCCCTACTCATCTAGGAACTCAACTGAGCTGGAACACTCATATGTCTTACACCTTAACGGGAATAGCTGTAAGCCTGAGCTCCATTGGGATGCACGAACATCTGGTTTAATGTGTCTGTTTCTTGCTCTCTCTCTCTCTCTCCATGTAATCTAAGGGATTATCCCTCTCCCTCTCCATGTGGCCTCTTCATGTAGTCTCTCTATGTGGTCTTTATAGCAGGGCAACTGAACTTATGTAGCAACTTGGAACTTCCAGTATACAAAAACAGAAGCTTCAGGTCCTATTAAGATTTAGGTGCGGAACTAGCACAGGGCCACTTCTGCTGGATTTTCTTTTAATATCCTCTGTTGTGCTCTTCAATGATTGGATCTCCATCCTAAATTCTTTCTTGAGTTCTTGAATATTTTTCTGTACCTGCATGAGCATGTTTATGATTTTTATTTTGAAATATTTCAGGAAGATTTATTAAAGCTCTACTCTCTGGAGCTGCTCAGCCCCTGGAGTGATGTCGGGGGTTGCAGGGGAGTGGTGCTGGTGCCTGGGGGAAGGAAAGGGCTGTTTCCTGCTTCCTGGCTGCTATGCCTGTCTCCACCACCAGAACCAGTGGGCTGAACACACAGGTGTAAGCCTCTGTGCTTTATGTTTGTAGCTGCCATAGGTGGGGCTTCCCTCTGGCTGGCCTTACACCAGGGCAGGGGCTGCCTGTTTGCGAGCCAGGTGCAGGCTAGCTGGGAGGAAGACACAGCAGGCTGTGTTTCATGGTGGGTGGTCTTGGAGCTGCGTAGCCAGCCAGGGGGATGGAGCGCCTGAAGATGGTTTAAATTCCCAACCTGCTGGACAGAGTACACCCAGACAATTTTGTCTACCTGTCCTTTCTCCTGAGCAGTAAGCTCTGTGCAATCCTTGCCCCTTTAGCAGCCCTCTCGCTGTTAGCAAGTCTCTCAGACTGTCCACCTGGATCAGCTGAATATGAATTCCTGTTTCCCACAAGCAGCTGGAATCTCCAACTCTTCAGATATTCCACCTGTCTTAGCTTTCCAACCCCACTAATCTCCAGAACACCATGCAATGTATGTTTGTGCTCCCAGAGCAGATCTCCAGGGCTAGGTGTTCAGCAGTCCCAAGCCTCCACTCCCCACTCCATTTCTCTTCCTCCTGCCAGTGAGCTGAGGTGAGGGAAGGGCTTGGGTCCCACTGGGTCATGGCTTTGGTACGTTACCCTATTCCATGAGGTCTGTTCTTTTCTTCAGGTGTATGCAGTCTGGTGTAGCCTTCTTTCCTGTTGCTCTCTCAGGATTAGTTGTATTAATTATATTTTCATATTATATGTGCTTTTAGGAGGTCTCTGTATCACCTCTCATGCTGCCATCTTTAATCCAATCCCTCGGTGCAATGTTTATTAAAATGCTAACAGCATTCTTCAGTGAACTAGAGCAGATAGTTCTAAAATTCATATGGAACCACAAAGGACCCCGAATAGCCAAAGCACTCCTGAGAAAGAAGAACAATGATGGGGTTTTACACTCCCTGACTTTAAGCTCTGCTACAAAGCTACAGTAATAATCAAAATAGTATTGTATTGGCACAAGAACAGACACATAGGTTGATGGAACAGAATAGAGAGCCCAGATATAAATCTCCACATTTATGGGCAATTAATACATGATAAAGAGCCATGAATATACGTGGGGGAAAGATAGCCTCTTCAACAACTGGTGTTGGGAAAACTGGACAGCTACATGCAAGAGAATGAAACTAGATTACTGTCTAACTCCAAACAAAAAAGTAAACTCAAAATGGATCAAAGACTTGAATGTAAGACATGAAACCATAAAACTTTTAGAAGAAAACATGGGCAAAAATCTCTTGAACATAAGGAAGAGTAATTTTTTCCTGGATACGTCCCATCAGGCAAGGGAAACAAAATAAAAAATGAACAAGTGGGACTACATCAAACTAAAAAGCTTCTGTACAGGAAAGGACACCATTAGCATAACAAAAAGTATCCTATAGTATGGGCAAATATATTCATAAATGATTCATACAATAAGAGGTTAACATCCAAAATATATAAAGAACTAATACACCTCAACAGCCAAAAAACAAATAACCCAATTAAAACATGCATGGAGGACCTGAACAGGCATTTCTCCAGAAAAGAAAGTGAAGTTACTGGGTCAAATAGTATTTCTATTTTTATTTTTTCTGAGGAATCTCCATACTGCTTCCACAGCGGTTGTACCAATATACCTTCCAAGAAATGAAAGTGAAAAAGGTATACCACAATGTATGGGATACAGTGAAATCAGTGCTAAGAGAAAACTTTATAGCTGTAAACATTTTAAAGAGAGAAAGATATCAAATCAACAACTTAACTTTATACCTTATGGAACTATAATAGGAAAAAGAAACTAAACCCAAAGCTAGCAGAAAGAAAAAAATAACAAAGATTAGAGTGGAGATAAATAAAAGAGAATAGAAAGACAATAGAGAAAATCAGTGCAACGAAAAGTTGTTTGTTAGTAAAGAGTAACAAAATCAATAAACCTTTATCTAGATTGACTAAGAAAATAAGACCCAAATTGCTAAAATCAGAAATGAAAGTGGGATATTACAGGCAATTTTACAGAAATACAAAGGATTATAAGATTACCATGAACATTTATATGCCAACAAATTGGACAACTTACATGAAATGGGCAAAGCCCTTAAAAGAGTCCAGAAGAAATAGACAATTTGAACAGTTTTATAACAAGGGGTAAGTTGAATCTGTAAACAAAAGCTAACTTCTCTGAACCTCAGATAGTCTACTGTACACCTCCACCCAGAATTTCTTGACCTAAGTACCTGTGGTTTATTAGGTTCCCTGTAGCTCTTATGACCAGTGGCTACAGCTTTTTCCAACTGCATTCCAAATTATGTGAGACAGAATTGAACTAGTCAGTCCTTCAAGTATCCTCCAGGCAGTTTAGAACATACACACACAATCATTTGCAAATAAGGTCTGCTATGATCTCTCCAGTTCAATTAA